AAATCATGAAAACTTGGAATGAAATTTTGGCGAGTAAACTAAAATTTCACCAAGTCTTAGAGGAAAACAACTTAATTTTTTAAAAGGGATTTTTCTAACTTTACAATTAGGAAAATGCATTGTGGCTGTGCGCAGCAGCAGAGACCTTGCTTAATCCATCAAATGGTCCCTTCTAGCCTGAGGGCTTGGCTGATTTGTTGGATCTGTTTGACTAATGCTACTCCTATCTCTGTTTGAAACTCTCAAAATTCTGTATTGCCCTTCTACTCAAGAACCAGGAGCATTGTCTTACGTAGTTTCCCAACTGTTTACTTCTTTTAAGTATAAGCATTTAAAAACCGGATCCTTTTGAAAATGCTTACAATTCAAAATGCTGATGGCCTAGTCACTTTGACAAATCAGCTACTGAACAAAAAGAACAGAAGATGAAGCAGGCATAGCACAGAAAAGAAATATAGTTTCTGCCCAATGGAAACCCTATTGAAACCAAGCTGGAGTAGGGTGAGAGTGCCTTTTAAGGGAAGAAATAAAGCTGCTTCTACGTATTGGGTCACCCACTACGTAATGAGTCACACCAGCCTACTATTTCTTCTCCAGCTGATTCAGAACAAAGGTCCAAAATCAGAAGATAAAATAGGTTTTAAGATTTTTTTGTCTGTTCGTTTGTTTATTTTTGAAGCAAGAAAGCTGTGTACACAACCTGAGTAGTTTTGGTCAGTGTCACTGTATAAGGACATTGATGATAAGTTGAAAAGTGTTCCTCAGTATACATCACAATAAATTCAAACATATGAAAATTCTACTTTTGGTGCAAAAACACCCCATAAAGATCCTGGCTTAACAGGGTCTCAGATACTGATTTTTTTCATGGCTGGAATGTCAGGTGTTTTGCTTGGCCAAAGCTCCACTGAAGTTCAGTAAAATGTTACTTGCCAGTAAGTTTCAGAAAATTACCTATCAGCCTATTTTGGAAAGAGGGTGGCTGAAGTAAGGTGGAATTAGACACATTTATTTTATTAATATGGCACAGTCACATTGCTAAAAATTCTAAAAAATTGAAATTCATAAAGTGACTCATGCATGACTTGCCAATATTTTGGAGCTGAAGAATCTGTTTCAAAATCTGGTGACCCTAGGCTGTCTTGCTAGTAATCCTTCTTGATTAGTCCACACTCATCAATCTGTATCAGATAGAAGGACTGATGAATCTTTCCAATAAACACAAAGCATGTCCTAAAACTAATAACTGCCATTCCAGCTACCTGTGTCTAAAATACAGTGAACCTAACAATGTGAACTATGCTATGTCCTTATTTGAGGGAGTACTAGGAGATAAATAATATGTGACGTCAGTATATGCAACCATTTAGTTGTATTTCAAACTGCATTGAGGTTACTTTTTTAAAGATATTTTTCTTTCGGAAGGAAGGAGTTAGCCCCTTTGTGGAAGACAACAGTAGAATTTAAAAGCTGAGGCTAATGTGGAATTGACACAGTATGAAACATGAAATAAATGGTATATAACAGCTTTCAAGATGGAAACAACAAAAAGCTTCACCAAAGCAAACCGAAATTCTGCAGTTTGGATATACATACTGAGATGGTTCAGTAAGAAAACACATTTTTATGACTACCAGAAGTTCATAAGCATAGGAAAATGATGATGAGGTTAGAGTTGTAAAACAACCTTTTCACTGAGAATTTAAAAGATTTTTTTTAATCATGTTTTTATTTTTAAATAAAGTCTCAAAAATGCATTAACTTGCAAACTTTACTTTTGATAGCTTAGCAATCTTTCTACTCTTTCATATCATATGCTTTTAAAATGTCTTATGACTGTCTGAAGTTATACTACAAATACGTAGGGTAGAGATAGGAATATAAAGACATTTAAGTTTAAGATTCAAGTAGTATGATGAGTGTCAACAGTGCAGTTGCAGTTACAATTGGTAGCTCCATGGTGGAGCCAAAAGCATGAGCTTTACACTGAGAGAGAATCAGAAACATAATGTGAGAACATCCAGCTTTCTACAGAATCACTTTGTTCCAGCATACCCTACAGAACAGTGATTTCTTAAACTAAGCTGCAACTGAAGTGTGTCAGGAAATCTATTTCATTAACTGAAATAGCGAGCTGTTTGTAGAGTGCCAGTCATCAAGTTTCATTGCTGCCGAGTGTAGATTATATCATAAGTATACCACAGCGAGGGGAAAATTTCCATTTCAGAAGGGAAATCATACAAACTAAGGAACTCCACAAAGATTTCAGACTATAATCAAGTGTCCTGGGGACAATAGGCATCTTTGATTTTAGATAAATATTTTCATATGCCAATGAAAAGTACCATTCAGTGTAAAGCATCTTAATTGAGATGAAGTGCATAAGTCATTCCTTTGCTAAGGTATCATTCCAAAATTAGCTTCATAAAGCAGCGTATTCTTTCTTATTCACAAGCATATTTGAAAGTACAAAGGGCATATACATCAGTTTTTAGTGAAGCCTTAATCTCATTTCCAAAACTGAAAGTTTTGTTCTTTGAAATTATTATTTTTAAGTATTTTAAACTTTAATGTTCAGATACACATTAAAATAATATGAGGGGAAAATATGTAAAATAAAAACAATTCTAGACTATTTTATAATAGCTGTGTACAGTTTTTTCATTACATAAAAAAGCCATCAAAACTGAGTCATAAGTGAACCTTGAAGTTGCTCCCCATGTCCAGTCAGGGTAGATTACTCTTAGAAGGAGAATGGATGTTTCCTAATGCATTTTGTCTTGTCACACTGGGGATACCCGAAAGAAAAAACACTACCAGTTTACTACACTGCTTGTGAATTTGTGGAAATAGAGTTCAGCTGTCAAGTTATTACTCCGGATGAACCATTGAGTGTCACAGACAATCAAGCCTATTTGTTGCAGGCATAGGATGACAGTCTCTTAAACCAATTAAAAGCTATAAATTGGAAAGAGAGGGCTGCTGCTTGTTGCATGAGGCAGTAAAATTTTATGGCTTTGTGAACTTTCACTTGGAAAATTTCTAAAAATTATGTTATCAGAAGAACTCACGTCTACTTACAGTGGGTTCCTTCTTGTTCTAAAGCAAGCAAAGAGCACTCTCAGTTGAGGAGCCCAGGTTTCAGTTCCTTGTTACAGCTGGAGAAGATTCCTTTGACAATGCTCAAGTTTTGCCTGGCTGATGTAAAGAATTAACAGCATCCTCCCAGGTTTCTTAGACAGTGTCCTCACTGGTAATTAACACTCTAGGAATGACATTTATTCCTCATTTAAGAGTGGTAACAGGGTGTCACTTCTGCAACTTCCCAGAGATAGAATTTTCAGGGCAGTGCCCTTTAAGAATACTTATAAAAGCAAATGAGCTATGAAAATGGGTTAAGTGTTCATTTGTATGTATGACAGTCATTCAGTATACTAGCAATTAGAGAGAATATCAAATTTTAGGTTGCATATGCAACTGGCATGCACATCCTGTACTCATTTTGGAAAAGGTACTTCCTATTTAGAAGTAGAATACTAACAGAGTACATTTTCATATATAGCTGTTGGCCTATCATACTTAATCCATCTCAATTCATTTAAACCATTCATTTAAATGTGAGGGAACACTAGCTATTGAAATATACATTGTGAGTTAGTAGTGAATTTCCATTTGTCTTAGTGTTAGAGGTTAAGTAAGCTCTGAAGTAAGATCAATCCTGAGAAGTACTGTTTGAACTAAAATATACCTTTCTAATTTGTAAGCTCTTCAGTTAAGAGATATATCTACTTCTACAGTATTTCATAGATGGAAGACAAAGAGCTGGAAGCATTACTACAGCTAAGGTAAGAGTGAAGGCTCTTGGTAGTACAAGATACTAGTAAGTACAAGATACTGTGCTAATTGCTGGAGCAAAAGTAAACGTGCAACAGTAAATTGGATGAAATTATAAAATTGTATGATGCCTCTAATAACATCCTTTGCCATCAGAGACTTACATCAATAGAAGAAGATTTCAGGATATTAGCAAAGTTTTTATTGCAGCGCAGTTTGTTATTGTGAGTGCTACAGAAACACTAGTATTTGCATAGCTGGTGTAAAGTGGAAGATCTGTTTTTGCAAAATAGCGTACCACATCCCCATAAGGGAGGAAGCTAGCCAATGAGACCAGGCTGCATTTCCACTGATTATGATAATGAACTAATGATCTCAGAGACTAGCTGGACATCAAAGAGTCTGTTGCATTAGCAACACGGAGAAAAGGATGCTGAGATGACAACTGTCATGCAAACGCCTACTCAGCATATTGCAAACAAGTTCAGCTGAGCTGACAAGGAATATAAAAGTGCTTATATAACAAATGCCAGTTGTTTTGCTAAGGAAAAGAATTGTTATGACTCATGAGAAGAGCAAAGGAATTACCTGAAATCTGGGGGAACAAGTCGGTTTATGGCCAGTCTTCGCGAGCGAAGATTTGGGAAAGGTCATTACCCTTCCAGCCTGCGCAGTGGATTATTTAGGTGAGACACAGCGTGCGCTGAACTGAGCCCACCCTAACCACTAGACCACCAGGGGCCCCACAAGTCGGTTTACTGCAATGCTAAAAATTCAGCAATGTGCTCCTAACCAAGAAAAAAAAAAAAAAAAGGAGTCACTCTCTACAAGAAAAATCTGTAGCTAAATCAAGTAGTGATAATGCAGAACCTTAACACATATGAATCGCTGAAGACATAGATCTTTAAAAAACATATTTAGGAAACTGTGGTAATCAAGAAAGATCATACAAATATTTGAAAACATTTATTTTAAAAAAATATTACCAGGATAAGGTAGTTCTTAATTGCTCTTGCAACATGTATAAAGAAAACTTGGATTTTGGACAATACTGTTTGATTAAAGCATGTAGGATACAAAATAGGAGAATTATAGCAATGCTAAATAAAGAAGATAACTTTCAAGCTCAAAAGACATTTCTTTTAACTGCAATTTTATTTTAATTTAGACATCATTATGTTGACTAAAGACTAATAGTAACAGAGGTGAATACTGTTTTGGACCCTACAGACCAATAGCAATAATGCAGGTGGTCACCTATTTCTTCACAAGGAAAAAGAATATGGTACCAGTCACTAAGAATTGTGTTAGTACATAGATTTCCAAGGGACTGATTTCCCCAAAATAAAAGCCATCATAAGTCAAACAGGCTAGAAAGCAATATTTAAAGAGAAAGACGTCAAAAGAAATTTGGAAATTCTTTTAAAATAAGATGGCTCCTAGAAAGCAAGAATTGTGCAGTAACAATTCTGTTATCCAGGTGAGAATGACAGCCAAAAGCATGTCCTGATGCAGCACAATGTAAAGACAGTACTTAACAGTATAAGAAAACAGCAAGAAGGAAATAGAAAATAAATCAATATAAACTTACATTTATATACAGATATAGATATCTGATAAAGGAAGTTAAAGGCATTATGAAAAATGCATGGTAGAATGGGCTTAACTAATCTTAGTAAGAAGATTTAAACGTTACCAGGTCAAATGTGGTGGTGAGTGATTAGGTGCATCTTCTGATGGACAAATTCCAAACTAATTCCTTACAGTGAGAGACCTTGCAACTGCTTTTTTTTTCCCCCTCTGCCTCCACCAATAGTAGAGGTAATTCAGGTAGTGTCTAAGTATCTTCACTGGGAGAAAACACTGCACACCACTTAAAAAAAGACAAGATTAAGAAACAATCACTTAAAGTCTAAAATGACAGAAAGTCATATGAGAAAATGCATGCAATTTCAACAAAGAGTGGGATTTAGCATTGCCATGCTTTATTAATAGGATGGGCGGACCCACCTGCTGTTTTTTCTGGAAGACATGCTTTATCCAGGAATATTTTTTGGATTTGGTATAGGGTATCTTGGCAAAAGAAAAGGACCAGTTACTATAGAGGTCAGGCTAAATGTTCCAATAATACCTGCATTCAGTGAAACTTTGAATAATATCATTGCAATAGCCTCTTCTCATGTCTTACTTATTAGAGGAGATAAATCGCTGGCTGTATGCCCTGGGTCTGCTTCATGTTGTTAATCACTTTGTAATTTCCCTGACAGAATATACTGACTAAATTGCCTCAGTCTCAGAATATTCCTTTCCCCCTTTGTATCTCTGTGAAGCATCTTTAGCTTTACTCTGTGCTGAGAAAATAAAATAACTTTACTTCTTATAATATTTCAATATTCAAGACATCTCTCAGTTTTCTTAAATCTGAAATAGCAGACAGATCCTTTGGAGAGAAACTCCAAATTTGCAGAAGGCTTTTAAAACTCTTCCTCCATAGAAACTGGGAAACTCCTTTCCAGAAATTTCCAGTTCCTTCCAATTCTTTTTCTTTCTTCACATCTAATAACACTTCAGAAGAAGTTACCTCTATGAAAAATAAATTAAAAAAAAAGGAAATTTTCTTTTCCTTTCTGGACTAAATGCCTCAGTAACCTTTCTAGTTTGATCAATTGGAATGAAAAAAAAAAACGGATTATTTTCCTGCAGTTTTATCTATGCTGTTGAATACAGAAAAAGGCAGGACACCAAATAATATTAAAAAAAAATCACAGCTTGCGTCTAAAACATGACATTTTTCTTTGGAATGCCATGTCATGAGCTGATAACGTTGAAATTAAATGACAATTCTTGGTAAGAAAGCTTAAGGCAGAAATTATATACTTTGCTGATAATCTGGTGTGAAGCTAGGACAACCAGTCCCAATTTAAGAAGGCCGTGATGATGGGAGAATCTAATGGGTCACCTGTGTTAATATATTTTGAACTTCCAAGCACATGCTTTGATGCTCTTTCACAATCTGGGAGCTGTACCAAGAATTTATACATGATGAATCGAGGCAGAAAAAAAATTAAACTGGAAATTACAACAACAGTAAATGTAATAATAACTCCTTATTATAAATTTATGTGTTAAGACTAATATCCAGAGTTAATTGGGACACTTAGGAACTGTGACCACTAAGGGTACTCCCAGGAAAGGTCACATTGCATCGAAGTGCATCTGAAGTGCCTCTTTCTGCTGCTAGAGCTGTGAAAAAACCTGCAGTGTCAGTCTTACTGACTTTGTCAGTAAAACAGAAGACTAACCTATAAAATTATGTAAAGCATATACAAATGTATGTTAGTTACTACTTTGTGCAATATATAAAATTTCTTTCTATCTAGTGCTTCAAGGCACAAAACATTTGTTTGATTTTTCTTTGGACTTCACTCAAATTTAAACTCTCCTTCAGGGCTATTAAGATGAGCTGCCCAGAAGAAGCTCAATGGAGCTTGCAATATAGCAGGTGCTGAATGGATGCACTCCCTTGCCAGTAGCTGTAGAATGTAGCAAACTTGCCTTTATTGGCTTCTAAGGCAGTGAATCTGCCCTAGTTTTTCAACACAGCCCTAGGCGTGCTACTGATCATTTAGATTTAAGCTTCTTGGAAGTTCTAAATGCCTCTCGCTGCAGCTACCTGTAGCTTTTCAAAAAGATGCAGCTGGCAAGTTGACTCAGAAATATGCCTCAAATTTACTTTCAATAAATCGCATTTAATCTGCCTACTGTTTGATACAAAAGTTCTTCTTTGTTAAAAACACATCCAGCAGCTTTGAAGCAGATTGTGAATGAACAATTGATGAGTATCAGCAGCTGTTTGCAAAAAACATTGATTTTCTGTAGATAACAAATCATCTAAACATTTAGAGTGTCTTACTATTTTATATAACCTTGGGAAATAAGGTACTACCGCTTTAGCATTCCAACAAATAAATTTAGTCCCTGCCTGTTAAGTATTTCTCTCAAAGTATTTTGGGTTTTGTCCTTTCTCAAAGTACTCTAGAGAGTACTCTAGAGATAGGTTATTATATTTCTTCGTGAGTGAGACAGATAAAATAGAGTACAATGCACCCACTTTCTCTACTTTCATTTTACACACATGGAACTTTAAAATTTATATAGACAGTCATATTTTCCAAGGGCCCTTCCTGTTTGCCCTATACATATATACAGTCCACCTCAAGTATGAAATGACAGCTTCTCTAAGATTACCTTAAACATGATTGTATTTGCTCTTAGTGGAAAAATGAGCAAGTTCAAATATTCCCAGCAAACAAATTTTTAAATATACCTACTCATTTACCTGGAATAATAAACCAAAGGATGACCAACATAAATAGGTGCAATTTAAAAACTGCAGACCTGATGTAAATTGCTTTGTAATTTGCTGTTAAAAGTGTTGATTTTGGAAATATTTGGTGTAGAATGTGAACAGCTTAATATATGATGATACATGTATGTAAATTTCAGGATTGATAGGATTATTCCTAAGAGTATGCTTTAATTATAACTAAGTATAATAGAATTTATCCATAAACTAGATGGATTCTTCCAGAGAATTGAGAAGAAAAGAAAAGCAAAAGGGAGATACCAGCAAAATAAGAGATTAAATTGGTCCAATACTGAAAGATTCTTGCGGAGTTCAATCTAACATTTAGAAAAGAAAGTCTTTAGTATTTAGAAGTCACTGGCTCAACAAATTTTGATCAAATTTGAACTTTTTCACTTACTTTACTCATAGGAATACTTTTACTGGTGGAATTTATATTCCTTTAATTCTGTAATTTTATGTGCCAGTGCACTGATGGGCCTAAGGGAGCATCTGAAATATAAAACTGGTAAAGACCAGATAGGCTTCAGAAGCAAGCTTAGTCCATCTTACTGACAGGGGTCATTTCCATTAATATCACATCTTAATAACTATGTCCTTAGACTGCCACAGAGCCCTGCACATTAGCTTTTCTCATGAACCCTAGGATTGAAAGTTGTTTACAAAAAGGATAAAAGCGTGACACATGGTTATAAAAAGGCATGCTGCATGATTAAGACTGATCTTTTACTTCAGTACACATACTTCTAAAACATCCCTGTTCTTTTAGGCTGAAAGAGAGGAAGAATTATATCTTGAAGCCAAAATTCACAATTAAGCTATTTTTCAAATATTTCTAGAGCAACTCCCTCTGGTGAGTAATGATTATCAAGAAGAATATATTAAAAAATAGATAACGAACGTCAATTCTCACCTTTCTGGTCCTGTGTTGAAATGACCATGGTAAACAGAAATAGGTATGTCTGAAAAATCCAGCCACTTCACGGCTATTTGGCCCTAAAGTAATACTCACCACCTTACAGGTATGAGGACTCAGTCAAAGGCATTAGCTGGTCCATGTCAATCTCCCACCACATTTTATGATTCACTTAATGCATATGAACTTGCAAATAAAAATGTGGTTTCCCCATCATATTCGGCCTAACAAAGGGAATGATCGAAATCCGGATTTTTAAAACTAAGGTATGGTACATTAAACCAGTGCATTTCACAGTAAAAGGAGGTAAAGGGAGCCTACACTGTCAGTTCTTAAGAGATATCTAGCTATCCTGTAGTAATTTAGTCCCTTTGTTTATCTAGGCTTACCCTAAGGGTTCTCACTCTGATCTTTACTGCTGTAGTAGTCTATATCGTAGAAAATTTCTAAATCTTGGGAACTACCTTCTATTCATCTCTCTTGCTTAGGAAAGGCACAAATGGCTGAGAAAAGGAAACATTCTTCTTCATCCTTTACCTGCCTCCTTCCCATTACCATGCTCTTCACAGACTGACGATTTTCCTGTTGTGAATTCCAAGCTTTATAATTACTTTTCTTGTGCCAATTAATCTGTAAAAAAAAGTACACACCATGAGTTGTTTGACCTTTCCAGACCTCAAAATTATTTCTACATCAAGAATGAAAAATTATTCTAGTTAACTATGTGAATACAGCTTTCAGAAGAAAGTAAAAAAGAGAGCTCGAATTTATATGAAAAATCTGAATGTTACTGCAACTAGTTGTAAAGTGTTGTAAAAGCTTTTTTAGTCCATTGTTAACTGCTGCTGAGGAAGTGTCAGACTAGTTCCACTATCACCTAGGGCAGTGCTTAAAGGTGCAGAAAACATAACTGGGAAAAAATGGCTGAGAGGTTGAGATGTATCACCGACTAAGCAGTGTTATACCTGTATCAATCATAGGGAGCATTTTCCTTTATCAAATTGTGATCACCTGTTGTAAGACATGAGAAAATCATCACCAAAAACCTGAATGAACCTCAAAGATTTGGAAGAGCACCAACTGAAAATGACAGATCAGCACTAGAGGATGCAGTCATGTTGATTGTGAGACACCACACCCAAAGGGGTGTTCTGTCTTACACAGGGGCTTCTCCATCCCCCATAGATCTGCAAATGGATTGGACCTTTGGGATGAATGGAGTATCCTCCTTCTAAGGCATTCACCTTGCTGAAAGAAGTTTGATAGTCTGTGAAACCAGACACAGTGTGCAAGACCAAATGCCCAATCCTGTTGTATCCTTGTCATACATTGTCCTATGGCAACATGCAGGTCCATTCTATCCCTTTTGAGGAGACGACCCAGAACACTGTGCAGAGTTTTATAAAAAAGGAGATGTCATAGTTTTATAGAATGGAAGATTGACTTTTTCTGTTTGCTCCTCTCTTTGACTGTGTTTGGGATTTTTTGAAGAATGTACATTGAAATTCTGAATTCTTAGAAAGCATTTTTTGTAATGTGGATAGCTTTATCTCCTGCAGTCTCATAATCTCATCCCTGAATAATAATAGTCAGCTCAGAACTCATCACTGCACATATAAAGTTCAAATATTTTTCTTCTATTACTTAATATTACATACTATTATTTTCATCAGCCATTTTGTCACCCAGTCACTCAGTGGTTTCATTGTCCCTCTATAATTACTCATTGTTGGTCCTTGTCTTTACTAAGCTCCTGTAATTTTGGCTTAACCATTTGCTCTCTCATATTCAACTCCCTTTCCAGGGTATTTAAGAGACATGAATCATGACAGATTGAAACAGATATTCTGGTGGGACTTCAGTGTTGACCTCTTTCCACAGAAAACCCACTATTTATTTCTAGGTAGTAAATAGATTTTAATAACTAAGAGCACAGAAATAGCACACTGGTTTACAGCAGTTAGGCACCCTCTATGGCAAGAAAATATGACAATATTTCTCAAGTCTTTCACACAATTATCAGCAAGTTATACTTTTAAGTGTTACTCATAGCATGTATCTCTGTAGGCTGTACCTACTCTATAGTTTGTATCTTTTACATTTCAGAATAAAAAACAATCCTAAACAGCCTCCAAGGAGGGAACTTGTCTTTAGCTTCTGTGATTGTTAGAATAATCACAATTCACTTTAGTTATTTCTACTGACTGTGAGAAACAGTTAAGTACAATTGGCTATTTGTCCAGAAAATAACTACACGTTAACTTGCATAAACAATCCAATCCAATCCAATTACTTCATCTGATTCCTGTTGTGGGAATGCCAAATGGGCTCATCAAGCATGTCATTAAAGATGCATATTTGGCTTTCAGACCCGCAACAGGAACCAAATGAAGTAATTGGGATTATTAATGTAAATTAAGTATTACACTGCAGTGGCACTGCTAAGGTGAGTAAAGATTAGTAAACTGTTTTTAAAACCAGGAGGAGAATAAGTTTTATAACTTAAGCTTTAGCTTAGCTTTAACAGGAAGAAAGTTTTTGAAAAGAAAGGAAAATAAAACATTGAATGATGCTGAGTACCAAAAGCAGAGATTTTTATGTGAAAATTGACACATCTGTTTTATTTTGCTTACAGAAAAGTGTCAGAAATCACAGAGAAAAACAATAAGATGGTGGAGAATGAATGATGAATAAGAGCACAGATGCCAATGCTAAGAAAAATGTTTCATTCTATCTAACATTATAGCGGGAAGTCCTCCTTTTTCTATATTTTTATATTTGTAGGGAGTGTTACTATTTCAAGAATTATTGAGAATCTTTGCCTTATCTCTGACCCTGCAAAATAGGTCAGGGCATTTTGGATTCTCAAATACTTCTGTATGTCAAAACCTAGAATAGACCCATCTGTTCCAGTTTTCATCTGTTTAATTTTTTCTACTGCAGTTAACTCTTGTTACAAGATCTTGTAAAATTTGTACTGGGAAAACAATGGCAAAGTATATTTGATTATACCCAGGTTGTTTGATCTTGAACCTTAGGTGTTAGAGCAATTATTTCACTAGACTTTGAGACATCCATGTGAGAAATACTTCTCATTCCTCATAATTGTGTGGTAAGGATGTTAAGCACTAAAACCTCCCTACTGTTTTCCAAATACATTTCTCGCCTGAACTGTGAAGAAATTTTTGAATAAGGCAATTATGACTTGTTGTTCCCCTGATACTGATACTACTGTTTAAATGGCAACTTTTGAATCAAGAACTTCTGTAATCAAGTATTTTCTATAAACCATCTCTAATACAAATACTTCCAGTAATGGATGTTTTCAGACTAGAAAATTTCACCCATAAACAAGGAAAAAAAACCTTGTATTTTTGCTGTTACATGAAATTAATGGAATATGATTCATTTAAAGCAGTTACTCATTTATTCTGCTTTGCAGCAAATCACTTGGGAATGTTTGCTACTTTTAATTTGCCAGGGTTTTCTCTTCTACAAATCAAATTAGTAACCAAGTCCCTTGTTAGGGAGAAATATAATGAAACTAGAGTTCATGGGCAGTTAGGCAGAGCTGCCCTAAGCCTTTGTTTCTGCTGGGGTCTGCTGCTTGCTAACAAGATGCTGTCATAGGACAAGAGTGCCTAAGGCTTCTAATATGACACAAGTGAGAATTATTGAGGCTACAAAGCTCACTGAGCATCCAAACCCTGCTTTATGAGCATATTTGAATCTCAGCCATGTAGTTTTATTCTTTTGACCACTTCTTGTTATGCAGCTGTACTAAAATATCAGCAATGCTGAAATTTTCCTTTGATATGGATCATAAAACACTCATACTTGTCTGTCTGTATTATGACACTGTCAGCATTTCTGAAGACAAAACTTGTTTTTTTCTCTCACACAATGATCCTGTAAATTCTTTGTAATTCACTATAAACACTTGAGTAGCCCTCAAAGACTATGGCTGACTAGTATATACAGCAGCTGTAAGATCCAACACCAGTTTTACAAGAGACAACTTATTCTAAGTGGACCCATCCTGGATGCATTCTTTCGAGGGACGGGATTATAGCATGCATACATTACATAGTAACATTGCCTTGAGCATGTCATCAAGAGCGTTCTGAGGTAGAAGCACATCAAATTGAAAGAAAGGCCTCAAAGTAACCACTCCTCTTTGCAGAGTTCTCCCAGAAAGCTTTTTTCCCATATAAAGCATGCATTTATGCTGTGCAGTAAATCAGAATGACACAATACAATTTCCATTTCTTCCCTGTTCAATAGTGCCATGGTATTCCCCAGAATTCAACTATTCATTCTAGACTTGTAGGTCAAAAAGGGAGATTTTTTTATCTGAACAGCTACGGGCTGTAGTTGTACTCTTTCCTGGAGGCATGGGTTCGTATCCCACTTCTGACACCAAGATTCTGTTGAAGTTTCGAGCTGGCTTCCCACCAAGTCTCCAGAACTCAATGAAAGAGCCTACTCCTCAGAGAGGGAAGAAAAAAAAAACGAACAGCCAAAGCTATAGCAAAAATATATATTTTACATATAAAACAGATATATACAGTGAGAATCCTATGTACATATAACCCCAAAAACCTCAAACAGCAACCTAAACAGGAAGAGGGAGAGGGACAAGGGAAAAAGGACAAAAAAGGGACAAAAAGGGACAGAAACAAAACAAGTATGCACAATCGAAAAACCCGGTAACCAGCAAAATAAAGAACTAGCAAAATCTCACCACTTCCCTTGAGAAAAGCAGGACGGTCAGACCTGGCCCAGCACACTCCTCTCCTGCGTGGCAGACAACAGCAGTTGATACAGGCCTCAACTTCAGATAAGCAACGCCAATGTAGGGACCTCCTGTTCCCAAACCTTGCTGGAAAAGAAGAGAGCGAGGTCTCTCTGGTCAGCTTTATTTATACCTCAGTTTACGTAGAGGAATAGCATGGAATACTTCCTTGGTCAATTCCCTATTCCTCCCTGGTTACAAGCTGGTCTCCAGGAAGGCCTAGACTAAAACTATTACAATACCTATGGATTTTTGGATTTTTAGCTTTTTGTAGATTTTAGAAGTAGCTGTATTATATCCCTTACCCTGTAGCACAGTAGTTTACACATTAACCCAACACTGTTACCTCATTCCATATCACTCCCTTAAAATTCCATTAGCTTGTTTAGACTTCCCTCAAGGTAGGCCTTCATTCTGTTTAAGAACATCTGCACCCTGGCCTGGACAACAAGATACCACACAGGCACAGCTTTGGAGGAACTCAAAGGACTGAATGTGCTGTAATTAAGAGGAGGTTGAGGAAGAGGGGGTCCCAGAGCCCCCTGCCTCAATTTTCAGAGAGGCATGCCAGGGGAGGTGCTGGAGGGTGGATAGATCTGGTATTGGATGGGTTAATACCTTAAATTGTGGAACCACATGGACATGGGGCCCCATCATATGTATTCCTGTGGGCCTCAGGCCTGGAATTAAAGGACCTACTCTCTTTATCTTATCTTATACACTAAGTTGGCTCGGAGTCCTGCTTTCTGTGGTCTCCTAAGGCAACTGGGACATCTTTTTCTTGCAGTCTTGGAGATCTGGACTACAAGGATAAAGACCTTTCTTCACCTGAGGCATTAGGAAAATTTCCCAGAGTAAATAAATGCAACTGCAGAGCTGGACTCATTGAGATACAGCAGAAACCTTTAACATGACACAATCTGTTTCCTTTTATGGATTACTGAAAGTAATTTACAGATTACATGGATAGGCAATTCATAGCTAGTACTTCAGTTTAGCATTTCATTTGCAATGTCGTTTGTATGAATACCACGGGTATGTTTCCAGTTTCAGAGAAGAAATACTTGAGTTTTGTACAAATCTAGTGTGTAGCAAATGCACAGATTCAGCACAACAGAGACATACCTTAGTAATTTGGGAAAATATTTTTTCCATTTATCTTGAAAGCTGGTCACATGACATTACAAAATACACTTGAACCATATGAGAAAAGTCTAAATTAAAGCTTGTTTTTCTTCTCATAAAAGCACTTTGCTCTCCTGCAGTCTGGGGAAAAAGGGGAGCTTTTGGGTCTTGTGTAACCTAGAAACCAATAAGTTTTACAATATTCTCCATTATTCTCTGTAGGCAACTTTATTTCACTCTATTTCACTCTTACAGAATTCCACGGTTCCTCTAGAGGCTACCTCTAATTTCTCTCTTTGGTGAAATCTGTAATCTGTAAACTTCTCTTAGAACCATAGAAGATGCTGAGTTGGAAGGGACCCATCAGGATTATCAAGTTCAACTCTTGGCCCAGCACAGGACACCCCAATAATCACATCAAGGGCCTGAAAAGGTTGACTTGATATAAGATTCTTCAGCTTAAGGAAGACTTTTCTTCTTCCCTGTTTAAAAACCTTTTTCTTTTCATTCCTTACCTGTGGACTAAATTTCCTATGGCCATTTTGAAATTAAGATTCCTAAAGTAATTCTGGGATGTGTTGCCTAAAAAAATTAGGAGAAAAAGACTCTCCAGACAATCAGACAATGTTAGTATAGATAAGATAGAGAGCAGCTCTTTTAATGAATGCCTTCTGGCTCATGGAGTACAAAGACGCGTACCCACATACAGAATTCTTACACTTTTATATAATTTACTAATTATCATATCTAATGGGGACATCCAATCCTAAGACCCCTTTTGCCCTGGTAGCACCCTCAGAACCGCCCCACTGGAGCCTCTCCAAGGGCTTTGAGCTTTCCAGCTTGTTTTGTCCACCATATCTCTTGTTTTTCTGGTCCAGGTGCACATCCCAATGGAATGTTCTTGCTAAAAATCTATTGCCTTGAAAAGATGGTTAAAAGATGGTTAAACTGAAGCTTCGGGAGTGTGATACACAAACTGTGAGAAAGTAATGGTCTAAAGTGAAGGAAAACTCCAGCTACATTAAAATCTACAAAAAGCTAAAAATTAAAAATTCTAAGGCATCAGTGCCTTTTAATAGTAAGTACAGTTCACTATATCTAAGTAAATCAGAAGTTTGATTGATCTGGTTTTAGGTCAGAGTAAAGGCTCAATTAAACTCAGGAATGTATATCTTGTTTCAAGAGTGGTCAATAAAACTATAAATGAAAACATAATCCAGACTGGATAAATGTCAGATCGTATATAATTTAAAGTATAAGTTTTTGGTATCATATATGACTGCTACTCAAAGCAACTCATTGCAGAACTTGCTAAAAGAGAGAAAAATCAACCTGATTTACTTCTGGGTCAAGGGCGAAATTTGGTTCAGAATACCCTTATCAAATAGTGACTTTATGACAGCAACCTTTATCCTCATAGAAATCAGAGATACAGTTTTAACTATTCATAATACTGTTGCTTGCCTTCAATTAGCAGTGGTAAATAAAAATGTGAAGCTTGTTAAAAAAGGAAATGAAAAAGAGCAGCTGACAGGGTAAAATACATCATGGAAAATAGATAAAGACACCACACTAGCCAATCAGAATAAAAACAACATTACAGCAAAAGCCCATCTAACAGGCTCCATCACTGAAAAAAAAGGGCCATGTTATTTATAGGATGTATCATAATTAAATGAAAGAGGAGGATCTTACAGCAAAAATAAATCAAGGGTGGGGAAGTTATGAATAAATCAGGCCAGGAGAATCATTACCTTTCATAACATAAATATGAAACCATTAACAGTGCAGGACAAATGAAAGATTTGAGGAATGTCTTGGTAAGTACTCCAAGGCTATGAATAATTTTACAGACTTATCATAAGCATGGAATCTGCCCAATAGTTGTACAGCTTTGCAATCCTGTGCCAAAGATTTGTGATTTCAGAGTGAATAGATCCTGTAGGTACAAAAAGGAGTGCTATGGGAAGAAAAGCCATCACAGAAAATTTGAGCATTTCAATGCCTTGATGTTCACAGCAGAGGAGCCAAGGAGGTTTTGTACCACAGACCATTCTTCACAGGAGATAAGTCTGAGGAATTGTTTCAGTCAGACATGCTAATAAATCATTTTCAATTAGAGATCAATAAATTGAATAGTAATAAATCACACAGATCATGTGATATTTGCTCAATATTTCAGTGTGAACTTGCCAACATGTTAAGTATATTATACTTTCAGTCAGCTTTACTGCCAGAGGAAAGGGAGATCACTGGTGGAATTTCAGCTTCCTAGAGGAATCTAGGTTATTGTGCAACAATGCACAAAGAAAATTGATAAATTCTGTTTAGAATTAGAACATAGAGTTATATTAGTAATTAAAAAAAAACCCTAGACATCAAACAAAGGGTGATGAGGCAAACCATTGAGTAGCTTCTACATAAAAATACATAGCCAGCTATATATTATCCACCTTGAAAAAGGGATAGCTTGGAGAAAATCTGATAGAGTGCTATGGGCTTATGAAGGTTTGAAATTAAGTGGAAAAAAATTCTATTCACTTTTTCCTGTTAAAACACCTGAACTAAGTGATGCCCTTAAACTATCAAGCAACAGATTTAAAAATAAGTGAGAGAAAATAACAATTGTAAATTACATAACTTTGTCATGGCAATTAGCAGTAGCCAAAATAGGTTAAGAAATAACTAAAGAACTAATAAAAGAACACCCATCAAAAGCTGGTGTATATGATGTGGAGAGAATAATTTAATAAAATATAAACTATTGACTTTTGGAGGAAATATTGAAGGATTGTGCATCTACTCTACCTATACAGTGAGGATGCTTTCCCTATGCACCTGTGACTGGCCACTGTCAGAGACAGGATTCAGCAGTGATGGACTGTTGCTTTGACCAGTAGGTCATCCCCATTCAACTGTGATTGCTACATTTCAAATGCTACACACATTAGCAGAAGAGGATGCTAAGGCAATCAAATCATGTTCAGATAAACCAGGACAGTTAAAATTTTGTATAATATACTAGTAATTGAATTTTGAAGCTGCAAAGTGTTTCTCAATAACTGGAATAATGCCAATTAAAAATTTACATTTGTAATAAAACTAGTCATGGTTATGATTTATTATGTGGAAGGTGGGTTTTTCTTTTGCAGGGGAGAGTATTAGTTAGCTTTTTAAAACAAGACACCTAGTATGCACACCATTTAAATTTAGAGGTTTACATTCATTTTATCATGTTACTCATTAAAGGCCCAGATTAGTGCAAACAAATTGGGCAAAATCTGAGGGAGAGATTATATAATATTCAGACAAGGTACAGGGTTCATGGCACAGTTACTCCATAGTATTATTCAGATATGAATTTGCACATGATAATTGTTATTTGTTTTGACATTTGCCAGTGCCATGCCTGACTGTTACTTACTTAGAAGGCTAGTTTTATGCAATTTTTATTCTTACAACGTATTTCTTCTGACATTCTTTTGCCTTCAGTCTTGATGTTATATATTCAAGTATTATAATCATAGAACATTCAAACAGTATAAAAAAACACACTGAAATATTATACGACAGTGTGTGACTATCAAAATTTACTTTTAGGTAAGTGTTATGAATTCTTTCTTTAAAAATACTGCTCCTGACATTTATGGGTAAGAGCCACTGTTGTCCCTTCAGAAATACATTCTGAAGAAAAAAAATGAGACTGAAAAGAAGTATATGTGCTGTTACGACATCTGCTCTATATGATATCTATAGTCAGAGTTGCAACACATACTTCTAATACTTATCAGTGTCCCTTCCTTTAAAGGGGAAAGAAATATTTTTTTCTTTAGGTGAGAAAGCTGCAGAACTTTGACTCTTGGAACTGCTTAAGTTCTTCATAGTGGCAGACACACATTCAGGCATGTTTTAAAAACGCACAGTAGATTTTAAAACCTCTTTTTGTATGTGGCATTTTGTCTGAATGCCATGACACCACACTGAAAATCACATAGCTTCTAAAAGTGTTGCAATGCAAATGTATTACCTCTGCAATGGAGACTGCTGCCCTTTAAGAAAACAGTTTTCTTCCTTTGGTAATACTTTGAGATATGTCCCGCTGCTGATCCTTTCAGAGTTTTATCTTGCTTTCTCAATGACCTTCTGTAGAGGTAGGCTTCCTTCCCATCATATCATGGAGTGTGGAACACATCAGGCTCTGCAGAGTTCCTTAAATATTTGGTTGAAGGTCAGCCCTACCGTCCAGGAAAGAACAAATGCATAGTTTTATACTTTGCTACAATTGAAGAAACCTGAAATTAAAAAAAAAACAAACAAAACAAACCAAAACAACAACCAAACAAACAAAACCCACCAAAAAATCCACAAAACAAAAACCCACACACCACAGGAACCACTTTCCCAGTATGATGGTGTTAATTTGTAGCCCTGTAACTCTATAACTTGTGCAAATAAAGGCTTGCCAACAGTAATAGCTCAATACTCTGGTGTGCATATTTCACTTATTTTGCAAAGCAGCGGAAAACAAAGATGCAGGCAAGTCATATGTAAAGAAAAGGCTGGGTTTTTTCTGCTGCTGACACTATGTCATTGAATTATGGGCAGTGGTTTGGTGCAAATCCTTGATCCCATTGAATAAAGGCAAAACTCCTGTTGTTATCACTTCATCTGGGGAAATGAACGTGGAGAATTTTGGAATAAATCATGGAGACCAGAAGTCCCAGAGAAGCAAAGCCTTTCCTACACTTTGGTTCTCTTTATGCTGAAAGCCTGAACATGGATAGAAAACACTGCTTTAGGCAGATTATTTGGAAATTCAGAAGTAAACAAGGCAGGATTTTGGTGCCACTATTTACCTAGAGCTAACATTCATGATATTCACATAGCAGATTCATAATTTGCTTAGAAACACACTCCAGGAAGTTTTCTAGGAAAACTCAGAGAAGTTGATAAAGCTATGGTATAGCCTCTCAATAGCTTCAAACCACTACAGTGTTTGAAAGAAAGTAAGGTGCTTTGCTCTCATACATGGGATTTTCTCTCCAAGAAACAATCCTAAACTAACAACATTTAACTTTGCACTAGAGAAATATTTGTCACATGATACTTCATTAAGCCTCCAATAATTTTAATGGAATAAATCTGAGTTCCCAAAAGCACAAGGGACCCTTCTTTTATAACCTATAAAGAGATAGCAAGACTTTGGATTATATTAGTAAAACAAGTTTTTCATGGAATCATCACGGAGTCATAGAATGGCTTGGTTTGGAAGGGACCTTGAAGATCATCTAGTTCCAATGCCCTCATGAGCAGGGACACCTTCCACTTCAATTTCATAGATTTATAAAGTATACTTATTATATATTTTGCCCCATATACTGAGTATTCAATCTTTATGCACAAGAATAGGTGTTCATAATCACAAAAAGTGGTAGCAAAAATAACATAAAAGAATGTTTTCTAACTATTTTTTTCTGTAAAACACATAACAACCACAGAACATGCATTGCCAAAGTATGGCACATTGTTTTTTAACCACAACTGGAAGGCCTTATATAATTCCTGCTTTTAAGGTGATTCTAAATGTCACTTTTATTTGACTGTCTATAAGTCTTCATTGCATGTCATCACAACATGGTTTTACCTGAATGCTGTGCTTGTCTTTGCTTTGCACACATCATTCTTCCAGGCTTTTTCTACCTTCTTTTGATTTTTTTTTGGCTCTACAAGCAATACATTTTTCATCTTATTCAAATGATAAAGTGTTTTTTGTGATTTGTCAGGCTCATGAGTCACTGTTACCATAGCATCTGAGACCTTCCTTTATGATCTTACATTCATTCATGGCTAGGCTTCGCGAATGAAGATTTGGGAAGGCTCTATCCACATTTGCTACAGGCACGCTGGTGGCTTATGAGGCCAATACGTGACAGACATATCCGATTGCAAAAGGCACAACAGAAAGACTCCTTAGATGATCTTACACAGATAAGACAAACACAACAATAAGGTAGGGAAAAGTTCTTATTTTCTACATGGAAAACAGAGAAACCACACTGCTAAAGCATGAAAGAAAGAAGTACTGGACTGTCTTTTCCACTAATAAACCTTCCTTTCTGTAATGAGTTCCAGCGACATTGAATCATTCAGGTTGGAAAAGACCTCTAAGATCATCGAGTCCAACCATTAACCTGGCATTGCTTAACCTAAACATATATTTTCACCTCTGCATCAAGGTGCATAGATTGAGCTTGTGGTGGCCTGTCTAAGCAAATAGACTTATTATTGGAACCATATTATGTGTAAAAATACATTTTAATTCAGTTTTGATTACTTTCTACTTCAATCTCAATTATATATGCCACAAATACCTTTATTAACTTAATAAGTATTCTTTACTTGCAATTTCAATGTTGATGAAAGACAACTTAATTGCTTTTAGAAATTTACTGTTATTGTATTTTCTGTGACTTATCAAGTGAATATTATGTACATCAATCATTGTTTTAGTGTCGAAAAAATTTTCAATTACAAGAATAACTCACATTTTAATAACACTAAATGGTGTTTCACTATGTAAGAGTCCATTGTCAAGATGCATAATATTCAGATTTCCTTTCATTTAATAGCAGAGCCAATGAAGAGAAAAAAAAGGATATATAACTTTAGTACCCTCATATTTTCATTTCTGTTAAATATCACACTGAGTATGGTGCACATTTATCAATTTGAGTATGCAGCAGTTATGGGCTATGCTTTTGTGTATGTAATTTCTTTTATTAATTTTCCCACAAATCAAATTATATGAGAATAAAAAAGGGGAATAAAGATAACACTTTCATAAATATCTTAAGGCCAAATCAGAAACTACGTTATGAATCGTTACCATATTATTCTTTTTCTCTGTCTTTCAACTGGAGAAGGAGGAACCAGAAATTCTCATATACCTTTATTTTTCCTCTCAAAATAAATCAAACAATGATTTAAATGGTTTCCAGCCTTCTTTTCATATGCTTCCTGTCTGTAATAAAAATTAAGGTGTTGTTTTTGTAATATCTTGGGGTTTTTTTGTGAAAAAAAAACAAATTTTGCAATCACAAAAACATGCACAAAACCAAATTCCTGTCTTTAAGAAGAAGTCATCCTTCCTTTGAAAATTAAAATATTCATTTGGATTTGTTTATGCTTGCTTTTTTTTTCCCCTCTGTTTCCCAAGCTGCCTCTGACTCAGTTCCCTTTTCCTTTCAAAATACCATCAACAGGTCTTTTTACTGATATAAATCAGAGAGCCTTACAAAAGAATGCAGCTGTGCCCCCAAATGAGAAGGTGCTGTTCTGGCAGCTAGACACCACAGAGGCTGGGAGGGGAAAAGCTGCTCCATGTAATGCTGGTATATGACACTGAAGCTCAGTGCTGGTGGCAAGGGGCCAGGAACAGCCACATCTTCAGCCCCAGAAGCTGCAGACCCAAGTTTTAGCCTGACCAAAGATGTATATCTCATCCTTTGGAGACCCTAAGAGAAGCAGTTGCATGAACCTCCCAGGAAAAAGAGAGGTTTCCTCAGCAATTATCCACTCCCCTACTGGTCAATGAAGTCAACCCACACAGTTCCTCCTGATTTACTTCCTTCTCTATTTGGGGATCTGAATTACCTTTTTACAGCCTAACCCCACCTGGCAGTAGGGACTTAACTAACTCCAATGAGACTCAAACTGTGAATTGGTCAGGCGTTGAATATCAGCATCTTCTCCAGCTGTATTTGTATATCACCTATGTATGTGTTTGTATATCACCTATGTATGTGTTTGTATATCACCTATGTATGTTAAGATCTAAAGACTGTATCAGAGCTTTGTGCATCCAGTGAGATATTAAGCCTGATTAGAAAAAGTGATTGAGAAAAATGAGCTTGTCGGATGTCATGTTTCATACCTTTTTAAATGTAGGTAGCTGAAGTCTAGTTTCACAAAGAAGGGCTGTTTTACACTTCTGAGCAGCATTACCTAATGTCTTTTTGCTGCAAACTGTGCTGAGAAACTACTGGTACTAGATAAATTAATTATGTCTTTGACTGCTTTGTCAATCAATGTAAGAAGATATTAAATCACAATAGAAAATATATTGTAATACAGTGATTATTTCCCTGGGATATCGTAAAGCATGAAGAGCAGCCAAGGGTTTCATACAGTACAGAACAGTAATTATCTCATGACAAGTGTGGTCCCTGGAGATCACTTTAAAGCTACTTTAAAGGTATTGCGGAGAAGAGCGTTATATATGCTATACTAGAAGATGACAAAGATGGCACTTTACAGTCACAAGAATGAGTTTTAGTTGGCTGTGAGGTACACACTGATTAATTTGAAGTGTTAACAGCCAATTGAATGCTTCTTCAGTTGAAGCATATTTATTACAGAGTGTAACAACCAGTTAATCACACTTCGAATCCACAGTATAAAAAAGAAGTTGGAAAGCAACAATCTTCTCTTTCTTTCAGTCATTTAGGGTGATATAAAACGCTTCCTTTGTGCTTTTGCCTCTTGAAGCTACTTTGAAAATTCAAAAGCACTTTTCCTATTTAAAAAAAACAAACCACCATATTTGACAGAAATGTAGAATATTGCTAAAGAAGGATTGTTGAAGCCATGGTTTGAGTTCTGGGGAACGTCAATGACTGACCTATATTGAAATCAGTTTACAGCTCCTGCAATAAGATATTCAACCACTTCGCCATATGCTTCATTCCCATCTTGCAATACACATTTGCTTACACAGTTCTAATACTAGACTATTTTAATATCTTTGGAAAACTGCATATGGTTACTGTTTCTCCTCTTAACACAAGGACAACTAAAGTATTTTTTCTTTAGCCTAAAAATTTCCTTTTCACCGAATATACTTGATTTCTATTTCTATCAGAATAAACTGAGTCATAAATATAGGATGGGGCCTCTGGTGGTCTAGTGGTTAGGGTGCAGGACTCTCACCGCTGTGACCCAGGTTCGATTCCCAGCCCCCCGGGCAGATGGAGCTCGTTAGCCCTGTAAGGCAATCCATCTAAGAGAAGGTCACTCTAAACAAACCTACATCCTGGGGACCTCACTGCCACTGTCCAAGCTTGCTCGGCCCCGGCAGATGAACCTCAGGATTAAAGGGTGGGCTCAGTTCAGCGCACGCTGTGTCTCACCTAAAAAAACCACTGCGCAGGCTCGAAGGGTT